AATGAAGAACAGAAAAAAGAAGAAAGGAAGAAGGAAAGAAGGAAAGAAGGAAAGAAGGAAGAGAGAAAGAACATGGAAGCAAAGAGTGAAGGAAGGAAGGAAAGAGGTAGAGAAGGAAGAAAGATAAAAGGGAAGGAAAAGGAAAGGGGAAGGAGAAAGAGAGAGAAGAAAGGAGGGAAGGAAGGAAAGAAGGGAGGAAGGAGGAAGAAAAGAAGGAGAAAAGAGGGAGGGAAGGAAAAGAAGGAGGAAGGAAGAAAAGCAAGGAAGGAAAGAGGTAGAGAAGGAAAAAAGGAGAGAAGAAGAAAAAGGGGGGAGGAAGGAAAGAGGTAGAGAAGGAAGGAAGGAAAGAGGGAGCAAGAAAGGAGGGAAAGGAAAGAAAGAGGGAGGGAAGGTTGGCCACAGCAAGGTGTGGTGGTACAACTAGTAAAGAATAAAAGCAAGTAGACTGTCTAACCACAGAGTTAGACATTTCTGCTTTTTTTGCATCTGTATAATGGGATGACATTGATGTGGTCAAACCAATAAAGCAGCATTGACCAAGAGTCTTCCCACTTGAAGCTGTTTGGACTTAGATAACTTTTTAGTCAGTGGATTCAGGCCGCATCTAGATTGCCATATAATGCAGTTTGAACTGCATTACGGTGGTTAGTGTAGACTCATATAAAGCAGATTGAACTGGATTATATGAGTCTACACCACAACATAATCGGTTCAATGCAGTTAATCTGCATTCTGAAACTGCATTATATGGCAGTATAGATGGGGCTTCAGTCAGATTTCTGATGACAATAACCACAAATAATCCACACCTAAATTCCACCCGAGCACCCATTCACATAGATACAACCACTGCCATTGTGCAGGATACACAAGTGTTGTCTACAGGTGCTCAAAAGCAACCAGTCAGAGCCCCTCTCACTTCCTCCAGCACAGATTGCTCTTAAGGTTTATTATTAGGTAGATTTGTGAGCTGCAGAGAAAAATTCATTTTTTCCTCTAAATCCTCCCACACTGTGTTGCTGATTTCCCAGGACCTCTTCTATGCATACACACTAAATCTTCCCCTCTCTCCTTCCACTCTCTTTTATTTGGAAAGAACAAAGGCAGGTTAACATTTTTAAAGTTTTTCCCCCTCAAATTCCAATAAAGCTGTGTTGTTGGTGCAGCTTTATGTTTCCAATGTGTCTCCTCTTTTCCTCCTTAATTCCGACTCCTCTGCTTGCCATTAAATGCATAGCACCTCCAAAGAAGGGTCACAGTGATAAGGGTCACAATGATCAGACCTTCTCAACCTCTGAGGATGCTTGCCATAGATGCAGGCGAAACGTCAGGAGAAATGCCTCTAGAACATGGCTCTATAGCCCGAAAAAACCCACAAGAACCTAGTGATTCCAGCCATGAAAGCCTTCGACAATACATGGTCACAGTGATAGTTGTGCATTTTTCCATCTTCATGAGCTGTTTGATCAGAAAATCAAGCTGAGAAGCAAAACTTCAAGCCATTAAAATGTATGGTGACATATGACTAGCCTAATGATTTCAATAGCAAAAGAATCACATTTTTGTGAAGCATCTTTGATAACTTGATTTTGAGCCATATAACATGTGCACAGCTTACAAGATCTTGTAGCACTTTAGAGACTGAGTTCTATGAAGTTGGTAGCATAAACTTCCATAGACTTGGGGTACATCTACACCAGGGGTCCTCAAACTTTTTAAACAGAGGGCCAGGTCACAGTTCCTCAAACTGTTGGAGGGCCGGATTATAATTTGAAAAAAACATGAATGAATTGCTATGCACACTGCACATATTTGGAGTAAAAAAAACTCTTAAAAACGATACAATAATTCAAATGAAGAACAATTTTAACAAATATAAACTTATTAGTATTTCAATGGGAAGTGTGGGCCTGCTTTTGGCTGATGAGATAGGATTGTTGTTGTTGTTGTTGTTGTTGTGTGCTTTCAAGTTGTTGTTGTGTGCTTTCAAGTTGTTTCAGACTTAGGTTGACTCTGAGCGAGGGCCGGGTAAATGACCTCGGAGGACTGTATCTGGCCCTCAGGCCTTAGTTTGAGAACCCCTGATCTACACTGTAGAATTAATGCAGTTTAATGCCACTTTGACTCACATGGCTCAATGCTATAGAACAATGAGAGTCGTAATTTTTCGAGGACTTTAACCTTCTCTACCAAAAAGTGTTGGTCCATCACCAAACTACAAATCCTGGAATCCATAGCATTGTGCCACAACAGTTCAACTGGTATTAAACTCCATTAGTTCTACAGTGTAGATGAAGTCATAGTCTAGTTTGCCTCTAAGATGTTCTGAGAATCCTTTATATACACTGTTTCGTGGCATGTAACATAGTGTTACTCATTGCCTTCTGCCTTTCACGAGAAATTTTCACACTCAAATGAATCCCTGTTCTGCCTAAGCTGTTAATGGAAACCGATACAACAGAAGGCATGTGCAACTATTGCGTCTCTATGCTGATGCTAATTGAATTTACGCAATAGCTCAAAGATGGCATGCCAGACATCCATTCCAGTAATACTGACTGGATGTCTTCAATGCATAAACAAATACAAACCAGGAAGAAGAAAACATCCCATGTCCCTGAAATTTCAACATCAGCAGTGAAAGACTATAGAGTTTCTTAAGTCATTATTTACTGGAAAGATGCACATTTGATAACCACTTATAGGGAAAAAAATCTTTTAGGATTCTTCCAAGTACAGTATATTCTGGCGTATAAGACTACTTTTAAACCCAAGAAAATCTTCTCAAAAGTCAGGGGTCATCTTATACGCGGGTGTAGTCTTATGCATGGGAGTGGTCTTAACTCTATATTTTAACTGGAAAAGTTGGGGGTCGTCTTATACACCCAGTCGTCTTATATGCCGGAATATACGGTAGGTCAAATATATCTAGATCACTGTTTCTTCTTTTTCAAAAAAAAATCTATTTGTAGACATGCTTACCAAGTACATTATATTTGTATTCTTTTATTATTACAGTCAATAACCAGCATCAAAAAGTGAGCAAACATCAAAATAGGAGCATGCTTGTGAAGTACGTTGTGACTGTGAGCTGTTGGTGGGTTTTTCCCATCAATAGCAATGGGCAGTGTAATTGATGGAAGGAGGCAGACAGGCAGCAGGATGTAGAAGATAGGCCACATGGACATTTCTGATTACAGACTTCCCAGAGTTACAAACATCTGATTTACATCCAACTCTGTTTTCTTAGCCCAATTTTCTATGTGAACCACTCAGAAAACACAACGTTTAAACAATTGGCTATTGTATTGTTCACACATAACAAATAATACACATGTCTTATTTTTTTATCTTCAAATTTAGTTACAAATATATATAAGAAATAGGAATTAAAGGCTGTGCTGTTCTTCATGAACATCTCGTAATCTCATAAATTTATTTATTTGACGTGTCAGGGCAACCAGTCAATTGTATTACAATTCTAACAGAACAAAACAAACAGACAAAACACAAAATTTGCAAGTTTGGTAGTTGATTAAATGTCTTTGACCAGTATCTGGCCACTTGGAGTGCTTCTGGTGTTGCCACAAGAAGGTCCTCCATTGTGCATGTGGCAGGGATCAGGTTGCATTGCAGCAGGTGGTCAGTGGTTTGCTCTCCTCCGCACTCGCATGTCGTGGATTCCACTTTGTGGCCCCATTTCTTGAGGTTGGCTCTGCATCTCGTGGTGCCAGAGTGCAGTCTGTTCAGCGCCTTCCAAGTCGCCCAGTCTTCTGTTCCCAGAGGGGAGTCTCTCATTTGGTATCAGCCATTGGTTGAGGTTCTGGGTTTGAGCCTGCCACTTTTGGACTCTCGCTTGCTGAGGTGTTCCAGCGAGTGTCTCTGTAGATCTTAGAAAACTATTTCTAGATTTAAGTCATTGACGTGCTGGCTGATACCCAAACAGGGGATGAGCTGGAGATGTCTCTCCCTTGGTCCTTTCACTATTGGTTGCTACTTCCCAGCGGATGTCAGGTGGTGCAATTTCTCTAGTGGTGTAGGGCGCAGACACCCCGTGATAATGTGGCATGTCTCATTAAGAGCCACATCCACTGTTTTAGTGTGGTGAGATGTGTTCCACACTGGGCATGCATACTCAGCAACAGAGTAGCATAGCGCAAGGGCAGATGTCTTCACTGTGTCTGGTTGTGATCCCCAGGTTGTGCCAGTCAGCTTTCGTATGATATTGTTTCTAGCACCCACTTTTTGCTTGATGTTTAGGCAGTGCTTCTTGTAGGTCAGAGCACGGTCCAGAGTGACTCCCAGGTATTTGGGTGTGCTGCAATGCTCCAGTGGGATTCCTTCCCAGGTGATCCTCAGAGCTTGGGATTCTTGTCTGTTCTTAAGGTGAAAAGCACATGTCTGTGTTTTAAATGGGTTAGGGATCAGCTGGTTTTCCCTGTAATAGGTAGTAAGAGCACCTAAAGCAGTGCTTCTCAACCTTGGGTCCCCAGATGTTTTTGGCCTACAACTCCCAGAAATCCCAGCCAGTTTACCAGCTGTTAGGATTTCTGGGAATTGTAGGCCAAAAACATCTGGGGACCCCAGGTTGAGAACCACGTAGAGCTTTGGAGAGCTTCTGTTCTACCATCTCAAAGCTCCCTGCCTGAGCAGTAATGGCATGATCATCAGCATGAAACTCTCTGTCCCTTCTGGCAGTGGCTGGTCATTTGTGTAGATGTTGAACATGCATGGAGCAAGCACGCTCTCCTGAGGCAGGCTGTTCTTCTGTTTTCACCATCTGCTTCTCTGGCCCTGGAACTCAACAAAAAAGCTCTTGTTTTTTAGCAGGTTTCCTATGAGGCGGGTGAGATGGTAGTCCTTTGTGATATCTCATAAATGAACTTGTGCAATAATTCAAATGTTTATAAGAAACTTCAAATACATTAAAAATTGAAAAAACTTTGCATTAAGAAGCAAAGTTTTGCTGTTGTATTAGAAAATTATTGTTCAATTCCCAGAAATGAAATCATTACACATGTGAACATCTGTCTGGTCATAATTACATAGTGCAATTTACCGTTGGACATTGAGTCATTTGGCAATTCAGGAAACAGGAAGTGTATATAAAGGTACCAGCATCATCCACTGACTTCCATACCTTCTTACAAACTACAAAGAAACTTTTTCCAGTCATACTCAGGAGAATAAGGTAAGGTTTCTGTTTTTACCAATGTATACCAGAAAGTTAGTAGCAGTTAATGAAGTGAGGATAAGGAAGATGCATCTTCAGCATCAGATTTATACTGAAGAGAATATACTATATAAAGCAGTTCTCTACTTTGATAGTAAGCCTGAAGATACATTTACATCTACTTCTTTGATACTGGTTTTAACTGCCATAGGGTAGAATGGTATAGTGTCTTGAATGTTGGACTACAACACTGAGAGAGTCTCTGTAAGTCATCCACAATAGCAAGATAGCAGTTATAATGCAATGGAACCAATAAAAATTCATGGAAATGCACTTCAATCTGTTGTATAGATGATACTTTGATATATTTAAACTTTCTCTTATCACTCTGCTTCATTCAAAAAAAAATGTTGTGCTCAAACAGTGTTGTATCTTGGCATCAATGTCAACTTTTGTGGAGAGGTACCAAAAATGGTCAACATTTCCTAGCATTACACTGTTAAGCTGCATTGCAGGCATTGCAGATGGATTGGTTTTTGCATATTGATAGAGAACATTTGTTCTTCTGATGTTAAGTGAAAGGTCAAGCTTTTCATATGCAAAGGTGTATCCATTCTTCCTCTGAATTGATACAGACTATATTAGCACTAGCATATTGGAGTTCTGTAACAGAAGTAGTTGTGATCATACTTTTGGCTTTCAGCCTGCTTGCCAATTGTCTGATAGGGGAGTTCCACACCAGTGAGAAGCTTCCTGTCAACAAGGTATGGAATCATAGGGATGAAGATAGAAAATAAGGTCTGGGCAATAACACATCCTGGTTTGATACCTGATTCCAGCTTAGATGGGTTAATTTAGGAGCCACTGTTGCCATCGTAGAGGAAGTGCAAGATGTTCACAAATTTATCAGGATATCCAATTTTCAAGAAGATGATCCAGAGAATATTACAACTCACAGAGTCGAAGGCCTTTGCAAGGTCGATGAATATCATATACAGAGGTTGATTTTGTTCCCTGCATTTTTCTTGGAGCTGTCATGAAGTGAAGATCATATCCACTGTTCCTCTGGAGGGCTGGAAATCATTCTGAAATTCTGGGAGGATGTCTTCTGAAATAGCTTGAAGGCGGTTTGCAAGGACTCTTGTGATAATTTTCCCAGTGGAAGTTAAAAGGGAGGTACCTCAATAGTTTTCACAGTCTGTCTGTTCCCCCTTTTTGAAAGGGGCGATTATAATGGCATCCTTGAAGTCTGCTAGGATCTTATCAATCACTCACACTTGTGAAGTCATTTTGTCAGCTCAGGTCCACCCTCTTTAAAGATTTCAGCAAGGATCCCATCAGGTCCACTGGCTTTGTTATTTTTTAATTGGCTGATGGCTTTGTGGACTTCCTGCACACTAGACAGTGCTGCAAGCTCATCTCTGGTTTGTTCTTACAGGATTTGCAAGAGAATCTCTTTGGCCACATTGGAACTGCAGTTAAAGAAGTTATAGTAGTGCTAATTTCAACATAGTGCAGTGGACCTTTTGTCCTTTAGAAATGTGGTTCCATCTGACGAACATAGAGGGTGTGTGCCATGATTTTTTGAGCCATAGATTAACTTTATGGCTTTAAAGAATTCCTGTGCATTGTGGGCTTCTGCGAGGTGTTGGATTTCTTGAGCCTTTATTCTCTACCAGACGTTCTTGAGTTCTCTGGTCCTTCTTTGAACCTCAGCTTTTATACTTTTTCTTAGAGAAGCGCAGTTGGTGTTGAAAGGGCTAGAGCTAGAAAAGTAGAAAATTACCAGTCAAAATAAAGTTCTCACTTGTGCTGTGGAGCAGAAGGGAGTGAGGAACCAAAAGGAAAGGAGTGTTCAACCCTAAGAAAAGTGCAATCTAATAACACACAAGTGAAAGAAGAAAAGCAACTGCTGGAGCATCACTGATAAAAGAGGTGCCAAAGGAAGAGAAAAGATGAGACAACGTTCAGAGAAAAAGCTTGTGTGCACATGCTCAAAGTATGCACAAAGTTTTGGCTATAAAGCTAAGCTGCACCCCATTTTTGGTGTAGCAATTTCCTTTTGTTGATCCACCCAACAGGATGATTTGGCCAAATAAACTTGTCAAACGATTTCTTTGCTCCTAGTGTCTGATTGGATAGAGACCTTAGATATTTTTGGGCCTTGGAGTCTGTATTTGAGGACGATCTTTATGGCCACCGTGGATCAAATTAACCTGTGCCCTGTCCAGCAGTCATCAGCACTTGGCATGGCTCTTGTAATAAGTGCATTGTGGTGGTCTCCAGCACATACAATTATGTATTATTTATTTATTTATTTATTTATTTATTTATTTATTTAAAACATTTATATTCTGTCCTTCTCACCCCCCCAGGGAACTCAGGGCAGAGCACAACATATATACAGCAAACATTCAATGCTGGGACATAAAACCATATATATATACAAACATTTTATTTTTATTTCGTATCAAAAGCATTGCATAAATTAGTATAAAACTGATAAAATAGAAGGTGTGCATTAAAATCACTTACATCCATTTTAAAATCAATTATATCGTCTTTGAGGTGCCAATGGCTCAATTATGTTTTAAACTTATTTTTCTGGTGAAATAATGTGTTAGTGATGACCAGGTTGTGTTCTCACATTTAGTCAAAAGGAAGATGCCATTTGGGTTGCTGTTTCCAATACTTTCTTTCCCTATAGCCCCTTGTCAGAGATTGAAATCTCGCCCAACTCTTGTATTAGAATCATCCAGGAGGATAACTTTATCCTCCTTAGGCATCTCAAATAGTATGGTATTCCACTGATAATATAATTTTCCTTGAAGTCTTGATATATAATATGTAGTTTGCTGTAGTCTTATGTTGTTTACCAATAGTTGTATTGCTATGCACCTTTAACAAAGGTATAAATTGATAACGGGAATCCTAGTGGATTCTGAAGCTAATTGCTCAGTAGTGGCTGTTTTAGTATATCCCATATATCCCATTCACTAGACACCTGAAGATAACAAATGAGCTCTAGGTTTGGTTTAAGAACAGCTGGTTACCTAAGGTCTTTCTTGTATGAAAGGGAAAAGATGAGAATTTGGCAATGTTTAAATTGCTTTACCAATGAGGAAAAATATTGCAGTGATTGTAATGGAATTGGTCCGAGGATGTGGACAAGATACTTGGAGGAATGCGGCCCACCACGTCCATCCTAGACCCCTGCCCATCCTGGCTTCTGAAGAGGGCCAGAGGGGGATTGGCTGAGTGGGTAACGGTGGTGGTTAATGCCTCCCTCCGGGAAGGCAAGATTCCAGCGAGTTTAAAACAAGCTATTATAAAACCGCTGTTGAAGAAACCATCATTGGACCCCACTAAATTTGACAACTTTCGGCCTGTTTCCAATCTCCCCTTTTTGGGCAAAGTCTTGGAACGTGTGGTGGCCTCACAACTCCAGGCATTCTTGGTAGACACGGATTATCTGGATCCGGCACAGTCTGGCTTTAGGCCGGGGCATGGTACCGAGACAGCCTTGGTCGCCTTAGTGGATGATCTGCGCCGGGAGCTCGACAGGGGGAGTGTGTCCCTGTTGGTGCTGCTGGACCTCTCAGCGCCCTTCGATACCGTCGACCACGGTATCCTTCTGGGACGCCTCGCGGGGATGGGTCTTGGAGGTACTGTTCTACAGTGGCTCCGCTCATTCCTCGAGGGCCGGTCTCAGAAGGTGTTACTGAGAGACTCCTGTTCAACCCCACAACCTTTGTCTTGTGGGGTTCCTCAGGGTTCAATACAGTCTCCCATGTTGTTTAACATCTACATGAAGCCGCTGGGAGAGATCATCCGGAGTTTCGGAGTGCGATGTCATCTGTACGCGGATGATGTCCAACTCTGTCACTCCTTTCCACCTGCTACTAAGGAGGCTGTCAGGTCCTGAACCGGTGCTTGGCCGCTGTGACGGTCTGGATGAGGGCGAACAAATTGAAATTGAATCCAGACAAGACAGAGGTACTCCTGGTCAGTCGTAAGGCCTAACAGGGTATAGGGTTACAGCCTGTGTTGGATGGGGTCGCACTCCCCCTGAAGATGCAGGTTCGCAGTTTGTGTGATCCTGGACTCATCGCTGAGCCTGGATCCCCAGGTTTCGGCGGTGACCAGGGGAGCATTCGCACAGTTAAAACTTGTGCGCCAACTGCGGCCGTACCTTGGGAAGTCTGACTTGGCCACGGTAGTCCACGCTCTGGTTACATCCCGTCTTGACTACTGCAACGCTCTCTACGTGGGGTTGCCTTTGAAGACAGCCCGGAAGCTCCAATTAGTCCAACGGGCGGCAGCCATGATACTAACAGGAGCGGAGCGCAGGGAGCATATAACTCCTCTGCTGCACCAGCTCCACTGGCTGCCGATCTGCTACCGGGCTCAATTCAAAGTGCTGGCATTGGCCTTTAAAACCCTAAACGGTTCTGGCCCAACTTACCTATCCGAACGTATCTCGGCCTATCAGCCCACCAGGACCCTAAGATCTTCTGGGGGTGCCCTACTCTCTATCCCACCTGCTTCACAGGTGCGGCTGGCGGGGACGAGAGACAGGGCCTTTTCTGTGGTGGCCCCGCGGCTATGGAACGCCCTCCCCATGGAGGTAAGATCAGCCCCCTCATTGATGGTATTCCGGAAAAGACTAAAAACCTGGATGTTCGAGCAGGCGTTCGGTTAACTCAGTGCAATAAGTGTAATGATTGAAGGACTGGCAATTTGGACGACGAAACTGGATCGCGATTTTAGTCAAGAGATGAATTGGATTGTTTATTGATATATGTATTGTGGATTGTGTTTTTATGCTTTTAAACTGTATACTGTTGTTTGTTATAAGTTGTTGTAAACCGCGTTGAGTCGCCGGCTAGGCTGGGAAACGGCGGTATACAAGTATAGCAAATAAATAAATAAATAAATATCTACCCACTCGCCCACCCAATTTCTAGCATGGTGGTTCATTCACTACCTATTCCTTTTCAGTCACAGTGCCCACATGAAGTGCCATGCCTGAAAGCTGAGTGAAGAAGTGGACAAATGAAGCAGCATTTCATTCACCCCCTCCCTCACTCACTGACCCATATGCCCAACTTCACTGTGTAAATTACTGTGCAGGCGGGTGAGCAGGAAGGTGAAAGAGTAAATGAAGTGTTGCTTCGCTCACCCTCACCTTCACTTGCATTTCAGACATAATGTTTCATTCACTCCCATTCAACTCATCCACATGTCAGCTGTAACAGAAAGGTGAGTAGGAGAGCGGAAGAGTGAGGTGATGCTTGGTTTACTCCCTCACTCACTTGCCCACCTGCTCGCCATTCAGGCACAGCACTTCAGGCAGCTGAGTCTGAAAGCTGACTGCCGTGCACCCAATTTTTTTCATCATGTAATAGTCGCACACTCAATTTTTCTGTCAAAAGATAAAGGGATAAAAAGTGTGACTCCCTCACTCACTTGCTCACCTGCTCGCCATTCAGGCACAGCACTTCAGGCAGCTGAGTCTGAAAGCTGACTGCCGTGCACCCAATTTTTTTCATCATGTAATAGTCGCACACTCAATTTTTCTGTCAAAAGATAAAGGGATAAAAAGCGTTACTATTATGTGGTGAAATATAGTAATGCTATTCTACCTCAAGTTGACAGCAAAGGCCTGCAACTGACACATGGTGATATCTTTCTATGCTACCATGTTTGCTGCTGCTGGGACATATGTTCCAAATAGTATCCTTCAATGTATGAAGTTCAACATAGACAAAACATCAGAAGCCATAAGAAGATTTTAAGCCATTTCTAGTTGACTTCCCAAAAAGCTATCCATAGGGCATAGAGATGTGTGCCATTTCTTCATGAGACTAAGGAAAGAATGACCGTATTTGGGGAAGAGAAGGGCCAAGACTATGGTTTGAGTGATATATATTTACTTCATGGTTGGCTGAAACTATGCAAGCATTTTGGAATCTAAACCTCCACACAGAAAAGATATGTCAGATTTCAGTAAGTAAACTGCATAGACTGCAAATGTAAACAGATATCTTTATGCCTTTTGTTTTCAGAGATGGGCTTGTTCATTGTGTTGCTGTGTCTTCCTACTGTACTGCAACTATTTCCTGGATGTGTAAGTTTCTAAAATTTGCAAAGAGTATTGGCAATCCTGGCTTATATTGAACTGCTATTAAAATCAATGGGACATAAATTATTCCAGGGGTTTTTGATGAAAATTCACCACCCCTTCCTTCCTTCCCCATGCCCGGACTTCATCTGACCCTGACATGGTGATGGCAGTGGTGACTGCTGCAAAGGTTGAATTCCTTCTGGGCTGCATCCCTCCCCTCCCTGCCCTGCCCCAATTTTTTTCATCATGTAATAGTCGCACAGGGGAGGAAAGATGGAGATTTCTTCAAAAGCCTCTCCATCAAGACATTTTATAGATAGTCATTTTGATGGCACCCTATGTGATGTTGTCACTGAATGTGGTGCACACCCTCCGCCACGCCTTTAGTGATGACATTGCTGAAATCAATCAAAAATTGTATATATTCATATCAAGAAATACAAGTGGAAAAATGTATCTCCTGTCACTTTAGATGCATACAGCAGAATCAACTCCCGTCGCTGATCAAATAGTCATTGTTAACAAGCACAACAGCCTGCGTAGAAGCGTCAGCCCAACTGCTAGTAACATGCTAAAAATGGTAAGTAAAAAAAAAAATTCAGTGGTACATTCAGTGGCGCTTCTTTTGGTTACAATGAGTACCCTTGGCAGCTGAAGTTTTCACAGGAACAAAGCCATGACTAGATTCACTGACCTGTACTATATATATCCTTTGCAATGTAATCCTAAACAAATTCACCAGAACTGCATCCCATTGAGTTGAGTTTGAGTCATAATTAGGAGTGAAACCACAACATGATGCCCTAACTCACTGGAATTTCCTTCTTTTACATGAAAGACAGTAAAGAAGCCAAGAAAATACTAGCTTAATCTTTTATTGACTACAGTCCACTTCACATATGATCTGATGCCTTTTTATGCTACAATAGATTAGCACAGCTATCTCTTTGAATACTATCTGAAAAGCAGTACTTTCAAACTCCCGGTGTGCGAAGAGCCCTCTGAGGCTGGATCTGATGCAGTTTCAGAACATAGATTAACTGCATTGAAGTTGATTATATGAGTCTATACTGCCATATAATCAGTTCAATACAGTTAATCTGCATTTTAAAACTACATTATGTAGCAATGTAGATTCAGCCTGAGTTATACAGCAAAGGGTTCATTTGCATTTGTGGATCAGCCTCCTCAGATCACTTGTATTAAGGATTGTAAACCACCATATTTCATCACATAATAGTTGCACCCACATTTTTGTGGTCCCTTAATGTTTTTTTTCTTTTCCTCACATACCGTATATACTCAAATATAAGCCAACCCGAATATAAGCCAATGCACCAAAAAAAACTGGGGAAAACGTATTGACTCATGTATAAGCCAAGGTGGTCCATGCCTTAGTCACCTCTAGACTGGATTACTGCAATGCACTCTACGTGGGGCTGCCCTTGAAAACGGCTCAGAAATTTCAGATGGTCCAACGGGCGGCAGCCAGGTTGTTAACTGGGGCTCCTTACAGAGAGCGGTCATCCCTCCTGTTCAAGGAGCTCCACTGGCTGCCATTAATCTACCAGACCCAATTCAAGGTTCAGGTTCTTACTTATAAAGCCCTGAACGGTTTGGGACCCACCTACCTACATGATCACATCTCTGTATACGAACCCACACGATCCCTCCGATCTTCCAGAGAGGCCCTGCTCTCGATCCCACCAGCATCACAGGCGTGTTTGGTGGGGACGAGGGAGAGGGCCTTTTCGGTGATGGCCCCTCGACTCTGGAACTCACTCCCTAAAGACATCAGACAGGCCCCAACCCTGGCAGTCTTCAGGAGGAGCTTGAAGACGTGGCTGTTCCAGTGTGCCTTCCCGGAATAATGATCCCATAGCACTTTGTCCTCCAAAGCACTTTACATTTCCCTGAGTCTGCTTGTATGCCCTCCACAAACACCAGTATCACCTTTCGTTCATGGCCCAGTATTATTTCCAATTTTAACTCTACATTTGTCCTCCCCACTGTTTTAATTTTGTGTTGCTTTTTGATAATGTTGTGTATTTACTGTCTATGTTTTTTAATTGCTTGTATTGATGTTTTATTGCTTTTGTTGTTGTGTTTGGGCTTGGCCTCATGTAAGCACCCCCCACCCCCAACCCCATTCCCACCCACCCCCCCTCATGTAAGCCTCACCGAGTCCCTTGGGGAGATGGCACCTAATTTTACCACAGAAATCTGGGAAAACCTATTGACTCGACTGTAAGTTGAGGATGGAAATACAGCAGCTACTGGTAAATTTCAAAATAAAAATAGATACCAATAAAATTACATTAATTGAGGCATCAGTAGGTTAAATGTTTTTGAATATTTACATAAAACTGTAATTTAAGATAAGACTGTCCAACTCTGATTAAACCATTATTCTAACCTTCTTCAATGTAAATGTGCTTACATATCCTTCCAATAATAATAGAGTAAAATAATAAATGTAATAATAATAATAGAGTAAAATAATGGAAATGTAATAATAGTAATAAAAAGGGTAAAATAATGAATATAGCAGTAAACAATTATAAAGTAAAAAAATAATGTAATAATAATATAGTAAAATGACAATAATAATAATAAATAGAATAAATAATAAATGTAATAATAATAATAACAACAACAACAACAACAACAACAGAGTAAAATAATAAATAACTTTGACTCGAGTATAAGCCGAGGGGGACATTTTCAGCCTGAAAAAAAGGCTGAAAAACTAGGGTTATACTCGAGTATATACAGTAATTGTCACAGGTGTTTTTAAAACTGAGAAACTCCATTTTCCCTTCACAGATAGTTCAAATCAGGTATGGGCAAACCCAGAACACTGGTTCTGGGTTTGTGGCCCCTTGGGCTTTTTTCTCCATCCTATCCTTCCTTCCCTCTTTCCTTCCTCCTTCCCACCCTTTTGTCCTTTTTTCTTTCCCTCTTTCCTCCCTCCTCCCCCCTCTCTCTTTCTCCTTCCTTCCTTCCTTCCTTCCTTCCTTCCTTCCTTCCTTCCTTCCTTCTTTTTTGTCATTCCTTCCTTCTCTCCCTCTTCCCCCCTCCCTTCCCTTCCACCCTTCCTTCCATCCACCCTTCTCTTTCTCCCTTCCTTCCTTCCTTGCTTCTCTTTTTCCTTCCACCTTTCCTCCTGGGGGATGTTTAGCTGGGAGAAGAGAAGGTAGAAAGGGAACATGAGAACCATGTTTCAAGATTTAAAAGGATGTCCCATTGAGGAGGAGGGGGACTGACTTTCTGCTCCTCTAGAGACGAGGACACAAGGGAGCAATGCGTTCAAATGGCAGGAAAAGAGATTAGGAAGAACTTCCTGAAAATAAGAGCTGTTGGAGAGTGGCCTAGGCTGCCTGGGAGTGTGATGGTCTCCTTCTCTGGAGGCTTTTCTGCAGAGGCTGTCTATTGGGAGTGCTTTGATTGTGCCTTTCTGCATGGCAGGGGGTTGGACTGGGTGGCCCTTAGGGGTCTCTCTTCCAGCTCTAGAATTCTATATAATAATAATAATAACAATAATAATAATAATCTTTATTTGTTACCCCGCCACCATCTTCCCAATGGGGACTCAGAGCGGCTTACATGAGGCCAAGCCCAAATGACAATTACAATAAAGAAAAACCAAAAACGCGAACAATAAACAATAACATCATAGTTATATAAAACACATGAATACATAACAATAAGAAAAATAAAGGATATGCACAGGCACAATAATAATGGCCGGGCAACATGTAGCAATCAAAAGGACAAACTGATTAAAACTAATTAAAAAGTTGGGTGAGATAAAAGAGGAAAGCAGGTAATTTACAGAGGAGGGCTCATTCCAGCGGGATTTTGTGGAATCAAGCTTTCCTATGAGGGGGGATTTATACTCCAATGACAGAACTTTGAGGCAGAGCAATCATGTGGGAATTATATACCTACTCATCAAAGGTGCAGCGGAAGAGCCAGGTTTTAAGGTTCTTTTTAAAGGCCTCTAGGGAAGGGGCTTTCCTAATTTCTCCAAGCAGTGAGTTCCAGAGTCAGGGAGCCAAAGCAGAAAAGGCTCTCTCCCTTGTACTCACTACGCGAGCTTGAGAGACTGGCAGGGGTGAGAGAAGGGCCTCCCCGGAGGATCAGAGGGCCTGAGATGGTTCATGGCGGGAGATACGGTCACAAGGGTAGGCGGGTCGCAAACCGTTTAGGGTTTTGTATGTGATAACCAGCACCTTGAATTGGGACCAGAAAATAAACGGCAGCCAGTGGAGCTCCTATATCAGGAGTAGACAATACAAGGTCTCATGGATAGACTTTTTCTCCCCCATCCACCATCTCATCCTGACCAAGGACAACCCTTTTCCAAACGTTTACCATTTATCCGTCACTTTCTGCCTCCAAAAGAGGAAGGGGAGCAAAGGGTGGGGGGGACTTGAAAGAGCCCACCCCAGCCCACCCACCCCACTCTGGCCCAGTATCCAGCCCACAAGTTAGAAAGTTTGCCCATGTCTGATTTAAATGAATATCAATCTCTCCCTCATCCTTTTCCCCCTGAAAGATGGTTTTAGCAAACACAGTTATTGAGTGTGCATCTTGAGTGTAAAACAGGGTGTTTTTATACAAAAAAAAACAGAATTTAGTGAACAGAAGGCACCATTATTATTATTGTTATTATTATTATTATTATTATTATTATTATTATTATTATTAACTTTATTTGTACCCCGCTAACAGCTCCCGTAGGACTCGATGCGGCTTACAAGGCCAAGGCCTCAATAAAAACAATACAACAATATACATAAACCATAAAGCAATCAAAAAACATTAAAGCAATAACAGTAAACAGTAAAATCAAATACACCATAACACAATAAAACTAAGGCCGGGCCAAGTCTTAATAGGACGACTGACCACTGTAGTTTTATATATAGGGTTTTTAAAGTTGTTTTTGTAATTGTGATATATGATATTTTAATGAGTGTATATGTTTTTTATGGCTGGAAACCGGGCTGAGTCCCTCAATGAGGTTGAGAAGCTCGGTATAGAAAACTGTGAAATAAATAAATAAATAATAAATTACAGATTAAAAGTGCTGAGTGTGACAGTTGAAATATAAGGATTTCGGGTAAGTGCAACGTGCTGACAATCTTAGGTCTCTAGTAAAGTGCTTCTGGGATGTGTTGCTGGAGTTTCCTATTCTGGAAAGGCACACTTTTATTTCATTGCATAATAGTCGCATCCCCCTTTCCTATCAAAAATGGGATTAACAGTGCGACAGTTGTATGATAAAATACAATATTTTGTTCGCTAGATTTCTTAAATCTGCTAAGTATCTGAAACAAATCAAACCTTTGGACTCTATCAAATCATTGCATTCCAATGGAGACGGAGGCTTGTGTGTCCTAAGTTTGTCATGTGAGAATCTGTATAAGAACTGATCATGTAAATTCAGTTTAAACAAACAAGTTTGATGAGCTTGATGGGAAACAATCATAATTATGGGGTGGAGACTTGTCAAAACACAGTGATACATTTCCTCCAATCTTGTCTTCATATCCCTTTTGACAGATAATGTCAATGTTCTTGCTTACTTTTATTTCTTCTCTGTGTTGCTCTTTTCAAAAGAATTTCCCACACAAGCTTTGCCTTCCTTGTCTAGGCATGTACGGGGAATGAATAGAGACTTCTCAAAGGCACAACTACGAAAAGCTGAGATGACATCTATTTACCAGAGAGTGTTCTCATAGCTCAGGTTCACAATACCATGATGTAGTGAAGCCAAAGCTGAGACTTTAGATTATAAGAATATTGACATCTGCCGTCTACCTCATGCTTACCACTTTATCTGAATTTGCCTTCAGTGCGTACCATAATTAGAAAAAGGAACTGTTTTGTGAGCTTTCCCAATCCTAATATATACTGTATATACTCGAGTATAAGCCTAGTTTTTCAGCCCCTTTTTTAGGCTGAAAAAGCTCTCCTCGGCTTATACTCGAGTCAAGGTTATTTATTATTTTACTCTGTTATTAGTATTATTTTTATTTCATGTATTATTTTACTCTCTTTATTATTATTACATTTACAGTATTTTACCCTATATTATTACATTATTACATATTTTATTGATTACATTATTTTACACTATTTATGATATTATTACATTTATTATTTTACTTTATTATTATTGCATTTATTATTTTACTCTATTATTACATTTATTATTCTACTCTATTATTATTGTTATTATTGCATTTCCATTATTTTACTTTATTATTATTATTATTTTACTCTATTAATGTTGGAAGCATACGTAAGTACAATTACATTGAAGATATGTAATGATTTAATCAGAGTTGGGCAGTCTTATCTCAAATTATAGTTTTATGTAAATATTAACAAACATTTCACCTCCTGATGCCTCAGTTAATGTAATTTTATTGGTGGGTTGTTGTAGGTTTTTTCGGGCCATATGGCCATGTTCTAGAGGCATTCTCCTGACGTTTCGCCTGCATCTATGGCAAGCATCCTCAGAGGTAGTGAGGTCTGTTGGAACTAGGAAAATGGGTTTATATATCTGTGGAAAGACCAGGGTGGGACAAAGGACTCTTGTCTGCTGGAGCTAGGTGTGAATGTTTCAACAGAACTATTTTTGAAGGAGCTGGGGGTGGTGACGGCCGACAGGGAGCTCTGGCATGGGTTGGTCCATGAAGTCACGAAAAGTCAGAAACGACTGAATGAATGAATGAACAACAACAAAACTCTTTTGACTCATGGAGCAATGGTCCATAAAATAATTTGTTTGAGAAAAATATTATCTAATTAATATTTTTTTACAAAAAAAAAGTACAGTGTTTAGATCCAGGATTTTAATATGTCCCCCTCCCTGCGACTGCCATATAATTCAGTCGCAGGATACAGTTTAACTACAATGAGCTGGACTATTTGAGTCTACACTGCCATATAATGCAGTTAAACTGCATTCTGAAACTGTGTTATATGGTAGTGTAAATGAAGCCCCAGTTTTTGAAGGAAGTTGAAACTGACAATGAGGCAGAGCAGTTTTACCATCTGAATATTTGCATTATGTATTCTCAAGAGTTTGTTGGGGTTTCCTTCTCTCTTTTTCCATTTAGGAATGGAATGATAAAGCAGCTGTGAATGCGAAAAAGTGGGCAGACAAATGTACACAAGAGCACAGCCCACCAGCAGAGAGAACGGTTGGTGAGTACAATTATAAGTACAGTAGAGTCTCGCTTATCCAACATTTTGTATTATCCAACGCGCCTTGGCTGCTTCTGGCTTGGAAGAATAAAAACTCTTCCTCAGACTGTCCTTCTCTCCTCCCTCCCTCTCCTCCCTTCCTTCCCTTCCTCCCTCCTCCCTCCCTCCTCCCCCCCTCCCTCCCTTCCTTCCTTCCTTCTCCTTCCTTCCTTCCTTCCTTCCTTCCTTCCTTCTCTGGCTCCTGTTCTGGACTCCACTTCCCTCCTTGCTGTCTCTCTCCTCCCTGGGGCCTCGCATTCACTCCAAGCAAGGCTTCAGGTAAGTGGCCTCCACACAGGTAAATGGGGAGCTCCACTGAGGCTACCTGCTGCCCTGGCTGCTCGGCCGGTCTTACTCTCTGGCGCTCTTGGTGGGGACACGAGACAGGGCCTTTTCTGTGGTGGCCCCCCGACTGAACACCCTCCCCAAAGATCTTAGACAGGCCCCTACATTGGCAGTCTTTAGAAAGAACTTGAAGACCTGGCTGTTCCGATGTGCCTTCCCAGAATAGGAAATCTCCAATACCAAGTCCCAGAAGCACTTTATTAGAACTAAGATTGCCGCACACTGCACACTGCACTTACCCTATAATCCTTATATACCACCTGTCACATCAGCACTTTTAATCCTGTACCCATTACTCTGGCCCGGCCCAGTTTTATTGTGTCTTAGTGTATTGTTTATTGCTTGTTGTTTATATTGCTTTAATTGTTTTTAATTTGCTTTAGGTTTTGTATTGTTATGTTGTGTGTTGAGGCCTTGGCCTTTGTAAGCCGCATCGAGTCCTTCGGGAGATGCTAGCGGGGTACAAATAAAGATAATAATAATAATAATAATAATAATAATAATAATACCTGCTGCCCTGGCTGCTCTGCCGGTCTTACTCTCTGGCGCTCTTGACCTCGGCGCCCATCTTCACACCCCTCCGTGCAGTCCCGGCCCATCTCTCTCTCTCTCTCTCTCTCTCTCTCTCTCTCTCTGTTTCTCTAGCAGTGGAAATGTTTGCTTTATGGAAGAAAAAAGAAAGAAAGTGAGCAGGCATTGAAGGCGACCGGCAAGGAATTGGGGGTTGCGTGCAGGAGGAGCCTGGGGTGATGTCAAGAGCCCCTCTCCCTCCCTCTTGCCTTTTCTCGAATTTAATATGCTTTTCTTTAATTCCTCCATATTATCTGACATTTTCATTTATCCAACGTACTACTGTCCCGTTTATGTCAGATAAGTGAGACTTTACTGTAATCACAATATGAATATAGTTGGCAAGTCTTCCACACATAGGTAGTATTTGGATAATACCAACAATGAATTTTGGTTCTTAAGACATGAAACAGCAGCAATAATAATACTGATGACTCATTGTTGGAAGATGGAGGGCAGGTGCTGTACTGAAACAACCCCTCTGCACTAGTTGTAAACCACTTAATAGAAGTAACATTATTTTTATTTATTGTGTCAGGAGTGAACCAAAACAGTTGTATTGCATTAAAAACAAACAAACAAAACACAAAGTTTGCAGGCTTCTTATTCTATTAAGTGTCCTTTGACCAGTAGCTGGCCACTTGGAGTGCCTCTGGTGTTGCTACAAGAAGGTCCTCCATTGTGCATGTGGCAGGGCTCAGGTTGCATTGCAGCAGGTGGTCTGTGGTTTGCTCTTCTCCACACTCGCATGTCGTGGATTCCACTTTGTAGCCCCATTTCTTAAGGTTGGCTCTGCATCTCATGGTGCCAGAGCGCAGTCTGTTCAGCGCCTTCCAAGTCACCCAGTTTTCTGTGTGCCCAGGAGGGAGTCTCTTTTGGTATCAGCCATTGATTGAGGTTCTGGGTTTGAGCCTGCCACTTTTGGACTCTCGCTTGCTGATGTGTTCCAGCGAGTGTCTCTGTAGATCTTAGAAAACTATGTCTTGATTTAAGTCATTGACGTGCTGGCTGATACACAAACAGGGGATGAGCTGGAGATGTCTCTGCCTTGGTCCTTTCACTATTGGCTGCTACTTCCTGGCGGATGTCAGGTGGTGCAATACCGGCTAAACAGTGTAATTTCTCCAGTGGTGTAGGGCGCAGACACCCCGTGATAATGCGGCATGTCTCATTAAGAGCCACATCCACTGTTTTAGCGTGGTGAGATGTGTTCCACACTGGGCATGCATACTCAGCAGCAGGGTAGCACAGCGATTTTGATTCGGGGGGGGGGGGGGCTGAGTTTGTTTCGGGGGGGGGGCTGAGTCTGAGTGAAAGAGGGTCTACCCTAGCAAACCTTTTGTATCGTTACCCCAATACCCATGCATATGGGATATATTGAGTGTGGTGATCAGATCATGATATGAATAAACATAACAGTTTAAATAATGCACCAGTAAGGCCTTTTCGCAAACCATCATGAGAATTTCGGGGGGGGGGGGGCTGAAGCCCCCCAAACCCCCCCCCCCCCACACTGGACATGCATACTCAGCAGCAGAGTAGCATAGCCAAGGGCAGATGTCTTCACTGTGTCTGGTTGTGATCCCCAGGTTGTGCCAGTCAGCTTTCGTATGATATTGTTTCTAGTGCCCACTTTTTGCTTGATATTCAGGCAGTGCTTCTTGTAAGTCAGAGCACAGTCTAGGGAAGCTCCCAGGTATTTGGGTGTGCTGCAATGCTCCAGTGGGATTCCTAATGGGATTAGTAGTAATAGTAGGAGTATATTGCTTGCCTTACTTAATGCGGGGAAGAAGAGATTAAGATATGCAACAAACAGACACATAATACAGTTAAAAACGTACACACCAATTAGGAATATATAATCAGTAGAAAGCACATGAGTTAAAAAGCATACATATTAAAACTATCCATTCATGATATAAAAACTTGTAGTTTGAAAATGATCTGGATAGATTTCTAAGTAATTTGGTGTTGTATAATTTGCACTCATACGCAAACAATTAAAATATTACCCAAAAAAATCAGCCTTGCTTAAAGGATCCTTCTACAGAAAGGGAAAATTGAGTAAATACTTTAGAGGTTAAATCAAAATCCTCATGCATCTAAACATGAGGATTTTGATTTATCCTCTAAAGGTTAAATTATCAAAGGGTTGTCCAGCTAACTTGGGGGGAAAGGTGGAATTCTTTAGGTTGGGTTGGAATGATCACAATATTGTTCTTACTTGAAAACATTCCTTTTGTGCAGAATTGAGCGTAGACCGCATTTACTCAATGTTTGTTTTCTTCTAGATGGAATACAATGTGGTGAAAATCTGTTCATGTCAACGGCAGCTACTTCCTGGGATGTCGTTATTCAGGCCTTTTATGATGAGGTGAAAGATTTCAAGCATGGCACTGGAGCAACAAGCCCAAATGCCGTAATTGGACATTTCACTCAGGTAGCCCAATTCTCATTTTATATCTTCTATCAAATGTGTGTTCAACTAGAAAATCCATACAATTCATAAAGGAACTGATAGAAAACATACTGTATATATTTGAGTATAAGCCTAGTTTTTCAGTCCTCTTTTTAGGCTGAAAAGGTCTCCCCTGGCTTATACTCGAGTCAATATTATTTCTTATTTTACTTTGTTGTTGTTATTAGTATTACTACATTTATTGTTTTATTGTTATTATTACATTTATTATTTTACTCTATTATTGTTATTGTTACATTTATTATTTTATTGTATTGTTATTCTATTATTATTATTTTACTCTATTTATTATTATTGGAGGACATGTAAGCATATTTACATTGAAGAAGGTTAGAATAATGGTTCAATCAGAGTTGGACAGTCTTATCTTGAATTACAGTTTTATGTAAATGTGCTGTCGCACGCTGGGCCTGTGCATAAGACTGTAGACAGGACATAAATTCTGTGTGCCCAATGGGACGCTGGGGCTGCCTCAGATTAAAGGCCTTTGGATTTCCTTAAACAGAATCATAGAATCATAGAATCAAAGAGTTGGAAGAGACCTCATGGGCCATCCAGTCCAACCCCCTGCCAAGAAGCAGGAATATTGCATTCAAATCACCCCTGACAGATGGCCATCCAGCCTCTGTTTAAAAGCTTCCAAAGAAGGAGCCTCCACCACACTCCGGGGCAGAGATTTCCACTGCTGAACGGCTCTCACAGTCAGGAAGTTCTTCCTAATGTTCAGATGGAATCTCCTTTCTTGTAGTTTGAAGCCATTGTTCCGCGTAGTCTCCAGGGAAGCAGAAAACAAGCTTGCTCCCTCCTCCCTGTGGCTTCCTCTCACATATTTATACATGGCTATCATATCTCCTCTCAGTCTGCTCTTCTTCAGGCTAAACATGCCCAGCTCCTTAAGCCGCTCCTCATAGGGCTTGTTCTCCAGACCCTTGATCATTTTAGTCGCCCTCCTCTGGACACATTCCAGCTTGTCAATATCTCTCTTGAATTGTGGTGCCCAGAATTGGACACAATATTCCAGGTGTGGTCTAAACAAAGCAGAATAGAGCGGTAGCATTACTTCCCTAGATCTAGACACTATGCTCCTATTGATGCAGGCCAAAATCCCATTGGCTTTTTTTGCCGCCACATCACATTGTTGGCTCATGTTTAACTTGTTGTCCACAAGGACTCCAAGATCTTTTTCACACGTACTGCTCTCGAGCCAGGCGTCCCCCATTCTGTATCTTTGCATTTCATTTTTTCTGCCAAAGTGGAGTATCTTGCATTTGTCACTGTTGAACTTCATTTTGGTAGTTTTGGCCCATCTCTCTAATCTGTCAAGATCGTTTTGAATTCTGCTCCTGTCCTCTGGACTATTGGCTATCCCTCCCAATTTGGTGTCGTCTGCAAACTTGATGATCCTGCCTTCTAGCCCTTCATCTAAGTCATTAATAAAGATGTTGAACAGGACCGGGCCCAGGACGGAACCCTGCGGCACTCCACTTGTCACTTCTTTCCAAGATGAAGAGGAAGCATTAGTGAGCACTCTCTGTGTTCGTCCACTTAACCAATTACAGATCCACCTCACCGTAGTTTTGCCTAGCCCACATTGGACTAGTTTCCTTGCCAGAAGGTCATGGGGGACCTTGTCGAAGGCCTTACTGAAATCCAGGTACGCTACATCCACGGCATTCCCCGCAGAGTCTTTAGATTGCTTAAAGTTCAACAAAGTTCTTTATTAATGAAAACAAACAGGTACTTTAAGGCTTTCTTAACAGTCTATTGGCTCTCTTTCAATCTTGTCCACGGGGAACAGGCACTATCTTCATAACTGTATACTAACTAATGGGGAAATCCTTAACTTCTAATCTGGGCAGTCTGTCTTTGCTTCTGATGGCGTGGAGCCCCTACACCAACTGCTTCTGGCTTCCGCGAGTGACCCTTACCAAGCAGAGCTTTGTAGACCTCCAGGGGAAAAGGAGTTCAGGTTTCAGTGATGGTTGACTGAAGTCCCTCCGCAAAGGAGCTGTAAGGCTATATGATCCTAGGCCAAGCTGTGGGCTGTATAACCCCGGCCAAGCTGTAGAAGACAAAGCTTTCTACAGGAGCTCTTGGTATTATGTCCTGCATGAAAGGCTTCTCTGTGTGGACTGAACCCAAACTGGCTCCTATTCCCTCCAAAAACGGGGCGGGACCAGGGAACCTAACTAAAATTGACAGGTGGCTTGCCCTATGATTGCCGCCAAAAGAAGCCACCCATCTGCAGAGTCCCTGAAACTTAGGACTACAACAAACATTCAATGCATAGCAAACAAAATAGGAGCTCCTGGTACAGTTGTACCTGCACAGTAAATATTCAAAAACATTTAACCTACTGATGCCTAAATTAATATAATTTTATTGGTATCTATTTTTATTTTGAAATTGACCCGTAAATGCTGCATTTCCCACCCTTGGCTTATACTCTAGTCAATATATTTTCCCAGTTTTTTGTGGTAAAATTAGGTGCGGCTTATAATCGAGTATATACGGTATGTGAGTATGGTGGTATTTTAAAATGATATTATGGAGGTAAACATAGAATCATAGAATAACAGAGTTGGTAGATTTAGTCCAATCCATGCAGGAAAAGCAAAATCAGCGCACTGAGAGTTGGCCATCCAGCCTTTGTTAAAAGCCTCCAAGGAAGAAGCTTCCACCACACTCCAAGGCAGAGAGTTCCACTGCTGAACAGCTCTTACATTCAGGAGTTTTTCCTAATTTTCAAACGCTATCTCCTTCCTGTAATTTGAACCCAGTGCTCTGAGTCCTAGTTTCCAGGACAGCAGAATACATGAGTTATATATTTTTAGAACCATCTGCCATCTTTTCAAGCCTAGTCAGATGCTGGCTCTACTGCTGCTTGGGTTGAAAGGAAATCTGAAACAGTAAGGCCCCATCTATAGTGCCATATAATGTGGCATGGGAAACATCCAAATGACAACCCAGAGGAATTGAAATTTTAAATGCCAATACCTCTCACATTTTGAGCAGTGTAGAAGGGCCCGAAGAGAGTACATTGGGGTCATTTGGGTTGTTTGGGGACATATGGGTCCCCATGCACCTTGTTAGATTGTTCCTAGAAGGGCCTTTGCACAATTAAGACTTGTGCGCCAACTGCGACCGTACCTTGAGAAGGCGGATCTGGCCAAGGTGGTCCACACCTTAGTCACCTCTAGACTGGATTACTGCAATGCACTCTACGTGGGGCTGCCCTTGAAAACGGCCCGGAAATTTCAGATGGTCCAACGGGCGGCAGAGGTTGTTAACTGGGGCTCCTTACAGGGAGCGGTCAACCCTCCTGTTCAAGGAGCTCCACTGGATGCCATTCATTTTCCGGGACCCAATTCAAGGTGCAGGTTCTTACCTACAAAGCCCTGAACGGTTTGGGACCTGCCTACCTGCGTGACCGCATCTCTGTATACGAACCCACACGATCCCTTCGATCATCTGGAGAGGCCCTGCTCTCGATCCCACCAGCATCGCAGGCGCGGTTGGTGGGGACGAGAGAGAGGGCCTTTTCGGTGGTGGCCCCTCGACTCTGGAACTCACTCCCTAGGGACATCAGGCAGGCCCCAACTCTGGCAGTCTTTAGGAGGAGCTTGAAGACGTGGTTGTTCCAGTGTGCCTTCCCAGAATAATGATCCCATAGCACTTTGTCCTCCGAAGCACTTTACATTTTAGGTCTGCTTGTATGTTTTCCACAAACACCACTACCACCTTTTCGCCCATGCTCCAGCATTATTTTCAATTTTAATTTTACATTTGGCCTTCCCACAGTTTTAATCGTGTGGTCTTATTGTTAATGTTGCATTATTTTATTGTCCATGTTTTTATTTTAATTGCTTGTTTTGTTGTTGTTATTGCTTGTATTGTGGGCTGGGCCTCATGTAAGCCGCACCGAGTCCCTTGGGGAGATGGTAGCGGGGTACAAATAAAGTGTTGTTGTTTATTTATATCTTGCTTTTTATTATTAGAAATATGACATTTTAGTACACAATTCAGGTGCTGGCATATTATTCTGTCCGACATTTCTTTGTTTCACCACTTCCTCCAGGCATTTGTGGAACTAAATCCAATAGCAAGGCTCACTGGATCAAAAGGGACTAGTAATAGGATTTAGGCCAATATGTCATTCACATTTTTATGGTACAACAAATATAATTTTTTTTCTCTCTGTATGCTTTTATATCTACAGGTTGTTTGGTACAGGTCTTACCAAGTCGGATGCGATTTTGCCTCCTGTCCTAATGGCCGTTTTCCATTCTACTATGTTTGCCAATACTGCCCTGCGTATGTATTTTTTATCTAGGATATAATCGTGTTAAAATGTAACTGATTGCAAAGGAAATCAGTATATGTAACAACTGGCATCTCATTAGAGACACAAACAAGTGTAACTCTAACATATGCTTGAGTGCGTGTCCTTTTGCCATGGCCGGTCAAAAGGAAAATAAGTCCTGTAACAGGGCGAAAAGGAGACATACCATAATTCCATCATAATAGAACTTTATATTTCCTGGTACAAGATCTCAGCCAATGTTTGCAGGTCATTCTCTTGGTGCAAAAAGGATCCTGGGATTATTGCTGATCATAAGTTGAACATGAGCCAAAAGAGTGATGCTATCTTAGCATTAATTGAAGCACTGTAGTTTCTCAAGTCGCTCCTGACACGAAAAAAAATTGAAGCATTAGGTTCTTCCCCTTGTCTGCTGGCAGAATGAGGATATTAGGATCTGAATTGAGGCCTGTAATGGCTCGACTTTCCTTCCTTGTAGTGTTACTGGAGGGAAGTTTTGCCTTTTTCAGGATCCTTGCTGTTTCTGCTCTTACTTCTTCTGCTTCTTCCTCGGGGAGGCGATAAATTGCTGATTCAAATCAGCCATTGAAATCCATGGAGGAGGAGACCATGAAAATGAACAAAATCTGGCTACCAGTATTAAAAAAACTCTAAAATTACAACAGCAAAACAGCAGAGAGGAAACAACCAGGCACATCTTAACACCTCTCAACAAAAACATTTTCCCAGGCTCAGCCAGGCCTTCAAACGCTAATGAAGGTGGTCAGCTGAAACATTCACACCTAGCTTCAGCAGAGAAGAGCTCTTTGCCCCACCCCAGTCATTCCACAGATATATAAACCCATTTTCCTATTTCCAACAGACCTTACTACCTCTGAGGATGCTTGCCATAGATGCAGGCGAAACGTCAGGAGAAATGCCTCTAGAACATGGCCATATAGTCCAAAAAACCCACAAGAACCTAGTGATTCCGGCCATGAAAGCCTTCGACAATAAATTGAAGCATTGTTTCCAAGTTGAGGGAAGTAAAAGTAATGTGCTATGCTGGTCTGGCCTTGTCTCGAACAATTGTTTCTGGGCACCCCATTTTAAGAAGGATATAGACTTGTTTCTATTGCAATTGTTTCTGGGCACCTCATTTTCAGAAGGATATAGACTTGTTGGAGCAGGTTCAGAGAAGGGCAACAAAGATTGGAAGAGGTGGGGAGAACAAAACATATGGGGAAAGTTTAAAGAAACTGGGCATGTTTAACTGGGTGAAGAGATGATAGAAAAATCTTTTAAAAATTCAAGCATTATAAATATATAAAGGAAGAGGGAAGGTCTGTTCTGTGCTTCACCAGTGAGTAGGAACAGGTCTAATGGTATTAAGTCACAGGATAGATTTCAATTGAAGCTTAAATGAAACTTAATAATAGTAAGAGTGGTTTGGATGGTGAGGTCTCCTTTTCTGGATGTCTTTAAAAAAAGATGCTTGACTTAATAGGGATGTTTTAGATCAGGGGTCCTCAAACTAAGGCCGGGGGGGGGGGCATTTATGGCCCTCCAAGGTCATTTACCCGGCCCTCGCTCAGGGTCAACCTAAGTCTGAAATTATTTGAAAGCACACAACAACAACAATCCTATCTCATCAGCCAAAAGCAGGTCCACACTTCCCATTGAAATACTAAGTTTATATTTGTTAAAATTGTTCTTCGTTTTAATTATTGTATTGTTTATAAGTGATTTTGCACTGCAAATAAGACATGTGCAGTGTCCATAGGAATTTGTTCATGATTTTTTTTCAAATTATAATCTGGCCCTCCAACCGTTTGAGGGACAGTGACCTAGCCCTCTGCTTAAAAAGTATGAGGACCCCTGTTTTAGATGATGATCCAGCACTTAACCAGGAGATGGACTAGATCAATGTTTCTCAACCTTCCTGATGCCGCAGCCCCTTAATACAGTTCCTCATGTTGTGATGACCACCAACCATCATTTTCATTGCTACTTCATAACTGTAATTTTGCTTCTCTTATGAACCATAATGTAAATATCTGATATGCAGGATTTAGTTTAATTCACTTTCAATTTGGCACAAATACCCAATACACCAAAATTTGAATACTGGTGGGGCTGGGAGGGATTGATTTTGTCATTTGGGAGTTGTAGTTGCTGGGATGTATAGTTCACCTACAATCAAAGAGCATTCTGAACTCCACCAAAAATGGAATTGAACCAAACTTGGCACACAGAACTCCCATGTCCAACAGAAAATACTGGAAGGGTTTGATGGGCATTGACCTTGAGTTTTGGAGTTGTAGTTAAGCTACATCCAGAGAGTACAGTAGACTCGAACAATGATATATCTGGACCAAAATTGGCAGGATTACTCAATATGCCCAAAAGTGAACACTGGTGTACTTTGGGGAAAATATACCTTGATATTTGGGAGTTATAGCTGCTGGGATTTATAGTTCACCCACAATCAAAGAACCCCTTGAACCCCACCAATGATAGAATTGGGCCAACATTCCCACACAGACCCCACATGCCTTGAAGGGACTCGCTAGCGCAGGCCTCCCTCCAGCCTTGCATGCTCTATCTTGCTTGCACATGCGCACCACGCCGACTTGCACCGAGCAGGCATGCTTTTCCCTCCCCACTTACTGTCTCAGAAACAGCCCTCTCCTTGGTTCCTGTGGGTTTTTTCGGGCTATATGGCCATGTACTAGAGGCATTTTCTCCTGATGTTTCGCCTGCATCTATGGCAAGCATCCTCAGAGGTAGTGAGTTCTGTTGGAATTAGGAAAATGGGTTTATATATCTGTGGAATGACTGGGGTGGGGCAAGGAGCTCTTCTCTGCTGGAGCTAGGTGTGAATGTTTTAACTGACCACCTTCATTAGCATTGAAAGGCCTGGCTGAGCCTGGGGGAATCTTTTGTTGAGATTCATTGAGCCCTCTCCTTGGTTAAGAGGCCAACCAATCACAGCAGATGATGTGCAACACATTCCAAAGGTTGGAGGATTTGCTATCTGTTTCCAAAAAGGAAGAGAAGGACAGGCAGAGAAATCTCCAGCCTTGCCAAAGGGGTTCCTTAGACCATCAGAAATATGTTGGCGACCCCTCTGAAACCCCCTCGCGACCCTCCCAGGAACCTGTCCCCCAGGTTGAGAAACGCTGGACTAGATGGTCCACGAGGCCTCTTCCCATGTGTTTATCTGTTTAGTAATTTTTCCTGAGAAAATCTTCTAGTGACAAGACCAGTGTTGCTATAAGCATATATGCATCTACTACCTTCATTTACAGTATGCACGTCTTCATATTTATCATTTCAGCGGAAATATAGCACACTTAATTCCAACGCCATATAAGGCAGGACCACCTTGTGGAGACTGTCCAAATGCATGTGACAATGGACTTTGCAGTAAGTGAAATAAATTTTCATTATAAAAGCAGATTTAAAAAAAAAAACATAAATGACACCCAACTAGAACACAGATGCAGCATAGCCCATTTACTGTCACCGTGTTGTATTACAAAAGAAGTGAGTGAGGATGGTGGGTTTATGGTTTTAGACTGTACTTCTGAATGTGTCCCTAGGAACACTGGTAAGGGTAGTGTGGTAAGAAACCCCTGAGTCCAGACCTGGGAATTGCACCACTGAATATGCCCAGTCAGTAAAAGAAGAAGAAGAAGAAGAAGCTGTATTTGTGTAGGAGATTCATAGCTATTTGTGAAAATCCCTGGAAACCATTGGTTGGGGGCAACAAATAGATATGCAAAAACAAAACCCAACATCACATAGCATTAACAAACAGGAAGATGGGAGACTGAGAGAGACTTTCCCATTCGGAACCTTCCTTATTTTAAGATGTGTGTTAGACTCCTACTCAGGGGCTGCTCAACCCATTACGCAAAGTAAACATTTGAAGTATAGTTGATTTTGCCCAGGGGCGCTCTTGAGACGCTCTTGGGGGAAAATAGACCTTGATATATGTGAGTTGTAGTTACTGGGATGTATAGTTCACCTACAATCAAAGAGCATTCTGAACTCCACCAATGATGGAATTGAACCAAATATGGCACACAGAACTCCCACGACAAAAAGAAAATATATATCAGTGATTGGTTGGGGGGGGGGGCAAAATACTGTTTGCTTACCATTGAAAAATACCTAGGGCCGCCTCTGCTCCTACTGTTTGACTATTTAGTACTTCAATAAGTAAATCTATTTAAACAACAACCTTTTCAGTGATCCCAATTTTTCTATTTTCAAGAATCTTCCAAAAATTAGCTCCCAAATAGCAGTACTTAAGGAAAAGACTCCTTAAAGATTTCCTTCTTGGTTGCATTTCAACTTTTATTAATTTTGATCTCCTTTCATTTTCAGCCAACCCTTGTAAACATAATGATAAGTACAGCAACTGTCCTAGTTTAGCAAAACAACCTGGTTGTGGTTACGGAAATATGATGATGGATTGTGCTGCTTCTTGCCTCTGCAAGACAGAAATAAAATAACAAGTACCTTTTCTGCTCCTTGTTGAAGAACTCTGCATTGGCAGATCAATTTCAATTGGAAGTTATAAACATATTTTCAAAACTGAAAATTCAAGACTTTGTTTGTTTGTATGCATGTAATGTTGTCCAACAGAGTTTTCCAAGGGGAAGGGGGAGGGGGGTAGAAATATTAAGGTGTCAGACAAAAACATGCACAACACATTCCAAGATAGTTCCAATGTATAATAAGTAAATGCTAATGCTGGAAACCTGAAATACAAGATGGGTGGATTACTATGCAATCTCGCAACATCATTGGTGGAATTGCTACTATAGCGTATCATTGATGTATAACATATAGTATTGCCTCCTAACCAGCCACTCAAAGAGACAAAAGTCAGCATTGCAACACATGTGCCCAGAGTGACAGGTGACTCTGCTGTCAACCACATGCTCATTTTACCCATGCAGAGAAGGTCCACATATTTCTTTGAGTTATTCCCTTTAGTAGTTACAAAAAAGGAAGCTGAAGCAGGCAAGCATGGACCATGACCTATCCTGAGAGCAGGCAAAAGAACAGAACATCAAGTTGGCAAAGAAGCGGCAATGGCCAGTCATAGCCAGACAGTACAGATAGGAGGCCAAAACACAGTGTAAACAGGCATTGCCTATAACAATATGTGCCAAGGCTTGAACTCACTCATTGAGAAAAGTCAATTGACTCCCTATCCACCTTACTTACTTACTTACTTACGCAATCCCTCGATGGCCGAGTAGGATAGTCTTCCAGGATCAGTGTTCTGGTGGGTCCGTAGGTGACTGTGGAGCCCTATTCTTGATTTGCATCTTCTCCCGCAGAGAGAGCATTGGTTTCCAGGTGGAAGGCGGTCTCGGTCGGGGTTGGCTTGACGCGCCTTCCTCTTGGCAAGTTTCTCCCTTTCACCCTCCATTCGTGCCTCTTCAATTCTGCAGCACTGCTGGTCACAGCTGGCCTCCAGCTGGAGCGCTCAAGGGCCAGGGCTTCCCAGTTCTCAGTGTCTATGCCAGAGTTTTTAAGGTTGTCTTTAAATCTCTTTTCCTGACCGCCAACATTCTGTTTTCCGTTCTTAAGTTCAGAGTAGAGCAACTGCTTTGAGAGACGGTGGTCGGGCATCTGGACAACGTGGCCAATCCAGTGGAATTGATGGCAGAGAACCATCGCTTCAATGCTGGTGGTCTTTGCTTCTTCCAGCATGCTGATGTTTGTCCCTGTCTTCCCAAGAGATTTGCAGGATTTTCCGGAGGCAGCACTGATGGAATTATTCCAGGAGTTGACATCTGTGGAAGACAATAGCTTTATAAACATGCACCTTGGTATCCCTATGGATGTCCCAGTCCCTATCCACCAAGACAAACTTAAAAGGATGAGCCTTATGTATATTTACAGAACTGCCTTTAGCATTTTCCAGAAGTTACACTTATTCGGTTTCTGGGAAATTGCATCCATTTTTACAACTATTTTCATGCTGGCATAATATGCCACAAAAACACACACCTGTCTCACATTGTAATGCAAATGCAGCTTGCAAATGGTGCTCCTTTTCGCATGCATACAGCCAGAGCCACACAGGCACAAAATACTATGGTAGGAGGCAGGCATGGATAACTCATACACTCTTCAAGTGAGTGGGGTCGAAATTTAAAGATCCAAGGACCACAGTTACCAAGAGTCCATGCCCAGTAAACTCAGCTTATTGCCAAAGTTGCCGGATAAAGTAAGACTCCCTAGCATTGGGTCCAGTCCTGTTCAATATCTTTATTAATGACTTAGATGAAGGGTTAGAAGGCATGATCATCATCATTTATCAGATCAGGCAGATCAGCAAGTTCTGAGTTTCACTTAAGGTGGATAGCAACTGTTTAACAGTGTACTGCAATGGTCTATGTTGAATGTACATCTACTTGGAAGCTTTAGTTTCCTTTTTGTTTAATAATTTTTTATTAAAGTGTC